AGCACGATTACGATCCTGAATTTGCATGCCAGTTCTCGCAATTTAAAGGCACAGGCAAGGCAAAAATCAATAGCTAAATAATCGATGAAATTCGATGTGTCAATTAATGGGTACAGATAGGATAGCGGGGGGGGCACTAAAGTTTTTTATAATAAAACATTTTTAAATATGGTCCTCTCGGGCTATAAAAAATTTTCTTAGTATATTTTTCGGTCATCTATCTTTCAGAAAGGCTTTTTCAAAAATCTCTTGGTATATTTTTCGACGCTCTATCGATGCGCCCATGGATTTTCAGAAATTTTTCTTTATTCAACACAAAATTTCCCTTACATTTTTCGAGTTCACTTAGTATAATTTTAGACGTTCTATCGAACGGCACTCGTAAATCGCACAGTAATTTAAAATATTGAGATAAACAGTGCCTTTATATTACCGTAGAATCTCTAGAAAACTTGGTAAAAAATAGCGTCTTCATTTGTAACCACAATGTAAAAAAATATGTTTCACAAAAATTTACAGCGCCTGCAGGCTTTTAAAGGGGAATGGGGGAAGTCAAGTCAGTCTTATGAGCTAAAGCCCACCGATAAACCAAGGTTGATCAATATTCATGATATTTTAAGCTGGTGCAGGACTCTGCGAATGCTATTCGATAGAGCGTTTCTTTATTCAACACAAAATTTCCCTTAAATTATTTCGGGTGGAAGGTCGTTCACTTAGTATAATTTTAGACGTTCTATCGAACGGCACTCGTAAATCCCACGGTAATTTAAAATATTGTAATAATCGGTGGCATAGAATCTATAGCAAAACTTGGTAAAAAAAATAGTGTCGTTTCATTCGTAAGCAAAATGTAAAAAAATATGTTTCACAAAAATTTACAGCGCCTGCAGGCTTTTGGAGGGGAATGGGGTATCCACACTAACTCATTAGTAAGAGGGAGCTAAAGCCTAAAAATAAAAAAAACGGTGGTTGATCGCTATTTTTAATATTTTAAACAGGTGCAGGATGGAGCGTCAAAAAATGGGTACACATAGGATAACGCAGGGAGGTGCCCTCAATTTTTTTTTGTTATCAAAACGTTTTTAAATATGGTTTTTCGGCCCTCTATGAATTGGCACTTGCAAAATAACGACATATTCGAAAAGCATGCCTGTTCTAGCTTAATATTATCATGGTACTTAAACTTCGTAAAAAACTAACGTTGTTGCATTTGTAACCAAAAAGTAAAAAAAGATGCTTCACAAAAATTTACAGCGCCTGCAGGCTTTTGGAGGAGAATGGGGGGTCCACACGTATTCAAGCTAAAGCCCAAAGATATAAAAACAAGGGTTGATGGCTTTTTTAACGTTTTAATTTTTATTTCGCGAATGAGATTCGATATAACGTCAAAAACCATAGCGTATAGCAAGAAAAAATTTGGTACAGCCTAAAAACTTTCGTTGAAAACCATACGGGCGAAACCTATTTTCGGAATTTTAAATATCGTTGCTATTTTAAAAGTGGCGTTCGATACAGCGTTGAAAAATATACTAAAAGTTTTTTATAGCCCGAAAATTTTTTTAAAAACATTTATATTGTATAAAAAATTGATTCCCTTCTATGTTTTTCTCAAAATTTCAGAAATCCCTTGCAAGAATTTTATTAGTGTTCTAGCAAAATTAACCCAGTTATCAAGTGGAAAACTATAAAAATCGAGATTTTTGCATTTTCAATAAAATTTTGTAAAGCTATTTTTGTAAATTTAGTATCCTTCGAAAAGTCGAAATTTTGCACAAAAGCGGTCATTTTTGGTCGTAAATGGATCTTTTCGTATGTTTTAATAAAATTTTGTAAGATTTTTACGTTTAGGAATAGTAAAAAACAGTTTACAAACACTTCCACTATTATATTTCAAAGATCCTTGAACCCCCTCCCCCCGGTAATGCAAAAGAACCAACACATGTTATAGCGGCGAAAAAAATGGGGGATAGGTACCTGGAACGCGGCGCGAGCCGGAAAACGAACCCTCACAAATGACAGGGCAGAGGAGAACCTGTTTTTTTATGTATGGGGGAGGGGGTAGCAATGGCAGGCAGGCAAATATATCACTGCGTATTAACTATACGGAACAATACTGTTTACGGTATATCAGAGAGAGAGAGATATGAGATAGAGAAAGAGACAGAGAGAGAGCTAGAGAGAGAGAGAGAGCTGGTAGCAAATGGTTTGTGCTAGCTACCATCCAGCGGCAAGCGAGCAGAGATTCTTTGCGGAAGCTGGAATTTTTTTTTGTTAAAATAAAATGTTGCGTATTTTCAAAGGTTAAAGCTTGACCAGTGAAATATAGTAGGACTCATCCATCGCGGATACCGAATTTCCTTTAAAAAATGGCGTGAGGCGAGAGAGAGTGAGAAGAGAGTTAGAGGTAGAGAGAGAGCGACAGAGGTAAACAGAGCAGCAACTTCAGCAAATGAGCCCTGCAAGTTGGCTAGCGAGCAGAGATTCTTTGGGAAATCCGGCAAACGTCTTGGTTAAAATCAAATGTTGCGCCTCTTCAAGTGACAAGGTCTCTTAAGTGAAATACAATTCGAAAGGGTCATAATCCGGAAGATTGTAAAAATTCTTGGCTAAAATAAGTGTTACAGATTTTTGGGTATACAGCTTGTCAAGCGCAAGTTGATGCGGATATCGAACGTGCGAATTAGAGAGACAGAAAGAGACAGAGAGAGAGAGAGAGAGAGAGAGAGAGAGAGAGAGAGAGAGAGAAAGAGAGGGAGTGAGCAACCTCTACGGCAAAAGGCCTCAGCAAATTGGCTAGCGAGCAGAGATTCTTTGTGGAGGCTGGCATAACTTTTTTGATAAAATAAAATGGTGCCTATTTTTAAGTGACAACGCTTGACAAGTCAAATGGAATACCGTTTTTCGCTACCTAATTTCTAAGCTGAATTTCCTGTCAGGATATGGTATTGGGAGAGCGAGAGAGAGAGAGAGAGAGAGAGAGAGACGAAGAGAAGGAGCTAGATAAATAAAACTCCCTACTCCTTGTCTCGCCTAAAAAATGCGCCCAGCAACTTCCATGGTGCGCACAGACGGTGGCGAGGCGAAAAATGGGCTTATAGGTGTCGCACGGACTCGGTGTTTGTGTGTGCATATTTGTTTGCCCACCCACCGTTCATTCGGTTCTTCCTGTATTCGCGTCTCTCTCTCTCGCTCACTCTCTCTCTCTCTCTCCCCCGAAAGGCATCAGTGTTGACACGAAAATTTTTCGCCCCCCGGGCACAGTTCCGCTACACACCGCCGTACCCCGAAAAAAATTGACGAAAAATTTTGGAATGGAAAAGGAGGGAAAGTGATCGTTCGTAAAAAAGTCGTTTTGTTACGGCGAAAATAGCTGGAAAGATTTTACAAAATTTGGAAAGTGGTTAATTTAAGTAGCGGTGAGTATTTTGCGCTTCGGCTATTTTTTTAGTCAAGAGTACTGTCTTCTTACTCTGCAGATCAAGGGCTACATTTTGGTACCCCTGCCAGCTCCGTAAGTCCAGGGAAGGCCGACTTACGAAATACAGCTAAAAATCCTGGTACTGGACTGTTAACGGGGGTTTACTTTTCCATCTATACCTATGTTGCTAAATATATAATGTACTTCTATAGTTTTTTTAGTATTTATCAGAAAGTGATAATAAATATGTTAAAAATTGTGAAAATTCGAAAATCCTGACCCTTTTTGGTCGGCTTTCATACATTTTGACCAAAAAAAATCGATTGTTTGAAACATTTTTACAATGTTGCTACTGGTTTTTAGAACCAAAAACCATGTAGAATGCTATAAAAATGGCTTATGTTTGGTTGTGGGGCCGTTATGATCACTACCTGCCGCGAGAAGGCACAAAATTTCACAAAGTCCAATGAAGATGAAAATTTCGATCTCAGCGGCCTCGATCTTAAGAAATAAAAAATCAGAAAGTACCCTCCAAAAATAGAAACACTCTATAGGATCCGCAGAGGAACCTAGAATTGGCAGCTAATCTCCTGGTGGGGAGGCTGGGTGTTGAGACCGATCGGGGGAGAGAGAGAGAGAGGGAAAAGCAAAAGCCGACCGGCCTCAATTGCGGATGGCAGCAGGTATCTGGAGAGACAGAGAGACAGAGAGAGAGAGAGAGAGAGAGAGAGAGAGAGAGAGAGATCGATGCCGGTACGCTGCAGGGGATGGCTGTGAACCTGAAGGGATAGATCCGGTCTCTACCAATGGCAGCACCATCCGCCCCCCACACACAAACGACGCGATGATACGATGCACGGCATGCCACCGGCATTCAACTACCTTCCCCCCATCCACCCTACCGGCTCGTTTCACATTTTTCAGTAGATCGGCTACTCCACCCCGGGTTCTGCCAAAGGAAAATTTGCATATGTTTCACGTTTCTGGGTCAAGATAACGCGGGTGATAGCGCGGAAAAGCTGAAGAAAACGGAATACGCTGAAAAAATCTAAAACTATCTAGTTTAGAAAGGCGCAAATAGATGGCATGGGGCTATTGAAAAAAGAACTTTTTTTGGCAATTCGACTAGGGCGAAAATTAGGGATACTCCGCACATTAATAGGACGCGTGGCTGAAAAGAATTCCCGCCAAAATGCCGACAGCCAAACTGCCGATCGCCTTAATCCCGACATTCCAAAATCTCGACAGCCAAAATGCCGACGTTCCCGACAGCCAGAAAATACCTGATTTTAAAACCAACCATAATTCTAATCATAATCATTGCTAGGCACTTAACAAAATATTCCAAATTTTGAAAATTCGAAAATTTAGACTTTTGTGGCCATTTTGGCAAGTGGTCCCCCGATAAGCGGAAAGAACCCGCCTGGCGCCTTTCTCATCGATTTTCATGAATTCCAGGGTGTTTTTCCGGAAAATATCGGATGAAGAAGAAACAAATCAGGACTTTATTCGTAGACTAGGACATTCGGTGGCGAAAGTATGTTACAAAGATAAAACCATTCAATCCACCAAAATCCAATTAATTCTTGATCTTCGTGTCGATGTCGAAGAGCGCTGCGCGGTTGGTGGCAGATGGACGGATGGGGGTGAAGGTACGAGCTGTGGAGAGGTCGAGAAGGCTTTCGTCGAGGCTCATCTTCGGGTTCACGTCGTGGTGGTTTTCGTCGAGTCTATTCTATTAACCCGCAACACTGCGTGGTTTAGAGAATAGAAATAGAAATTATTTATAGCAAATCCCTGTTGTCTAGCCAGCTATGAAAATATTTTATTTAGTTTAAAATTCACAAAAAAAATCGAAGAATTGGCAAATTTAAACTTTTGTGGCCAAATTATCTAAAAACTGTAAAATTTTATAAAAATCGTTTATTTTTCGTATAAGCCTGCGAACTAAATAGGATCCATTCCAATGGTGTTTTTAGTAGAATGCAGCTATCTTTCGACTAGAAAATCGACAAAAAACATTGAAAAAATTTCAAGCCTAATTTTCGTCCAAAAAAGGCCATTTTTGGTCGAAAAATCGATTATTTTCGTTTTTTTTTATGAAAATTTGTAAAGTTTTACGTTTAGAAATAGTAAACAACAGGTAACAAACGGTAAATAACTATTTCTATTTGTAGAAGTGGATTTTAAGTGAAAAAGCTGGTCCCTCCGATAAGCGGAAAGAACCCGCTTGGCGCCTTTTCTCATCGATTTTCATGGATCCCAGCTTGTTTTTCCAGAAAAGATCGGATGAAGAAGAAACAAATCGGAAAAGATAAATCTTTATTCACATAATAGGCCACAAATGGAAAACGAGTCAATCGATTCAATTAATTCTTGACCTTCGTGTCGAGGTTGGAGAGTGAGGTGCGGATGGTTGTAAATGGACGACGGATGGGGGAGAACGTCTGCGCGGTCGAGAGACCCAGAAGACTTTCATCAAGCATCGGGTGCACGGTCGGGTCGACGTCGATCAGGCTTTCGACGCGTTGCGGCTGCAACACCGTGTGGTTTACGTGCGAGAAAGTTCCTGCCGTCTAGCTAGCTATGCGAATATTTATTTTTTATTTGGTTTATTTTATTGGGTTTATTTTTATTTAGTTGTTTGTTTTATTGTTTATTTATTTTATTGAGTTTGAGTTATTTTATTTAGTTCTTGTTTTTATTACTTTTATTTATATTTATTTGCTGGTTTTCTTTTTGTGGTATTGAGTCTATAGTTTTATTTTCAGCTGGTCTGCCACATTTCTCGCGTGGTATCTGGCGAGCGTTTTCGGACCGAATTTCGCCCGAAATTTCAGAAAAGCCTAGGAACGTTGTAGTAAGTATTTTAATAGCTCTTTTAATAGAATTTCACTAAATTTGAGGTGGCAAAACAACCTAAAAAGTTGAGAGAATTTATTGTTCGACATTTTGGTCGAAACTCGGCCATTTTGGCTCAAATCAATTGATGATTTATGTCTTTTTGATACAAAATTTGATACAGTTTTTACGTTTATGAATAAGGGTAAAACAGTTTCCAAACGCTTTATCCATTGATTTTACAAAAAACTGGATCGTTGGAAAAAAAGTTTGTTTCCCACCGTATGGGCTACATTTGAGCGAGTCGAGGTGGTAGTTAGTCGATGCGGTAGAGGTTGACGTCATTGCAGACCTAGTCGACAGGTTGTCCAACATCTCGGCAAACTCCTGAAAAGAAGATGCGAAATTCGATGCTTGCCTCGGCCGCCATTCGGGACCTTTCCGTTTTTTATTTTAATAGGGTTTTTGCCAAAAATTTGAAAAACGTTTTAGCCGAAATTTTGGTCGAAGTTCGAAACTTTTTGAAATTCGTAATACAAAATTTGCAAAGTTTACGTTGGGAAAAAAGGATCCGTACTTACATCGTACGCCGTCATCCACGGCGGGCGAGTGACCGGGCGCCTCGGCGGGATCCACACCATCTCGCTGTCCGACGTCGTCGTCGGGGTGGCGGGTCGCTTGAACATTAAAGTGATTATCCTAATTAAGAGTGATTATCCTAATCCTAATTAACTCTCAGAATTATATGGAAAATTACCAAGAAAAAAATTTTGAATTGCCACCGTTTTTTTTGAATTTTGAATTGCCACCAAGAAATTGTCACGGTTTTTTTGAATTTTCAAAAGTCGAATTTTCGAATTTTTTATGACTTTCTAGCAAACGAAAAATTAGATACAAGTTATATATTATCAACAGGCAACCCACCATTTGGTTGAAAATCTCCAGCCCGCTGCGGACCTCGAGCCCCTCATCAGCCAATACGCCTCGCCAAGCGCGCAGGGCGGCCGTAGCTGCGGTGCCGAGTTCGCGGGAACGAGTCACCTGCGATAAAGTTGATAGTAGTTTCCACAAGATAATCTGGTTCTTTATTAGGGTCGACTTTTCTAATATAAGTAGAGAAGGTTATAAACCGGTTTTTGCCAATCCAAAACGTAAAAAAAAGTTACAAATCATATTAGAAACAATACTCAACAAAAGAATTTTTATAAAAACTAGAAAAATATCGATTTTTAGACATCAAAATTAGATTTTCGATGAAGTTTTCGAATTTCTAAAGCCGACAGTCCTTCACCGGAAAAAGACGAAAACCGGTGCTGGCAGGAACCAAATTTTCCCAGTATTTCCGTACGTGTTTATAATGAAATATTAACCATGATTCACATAGTTTTACGTTCATATTTTGGAACTTTTTGTCATAAAGGTATGAAAAATGGCCAGAAAGGTCAAAATTTTCAAAATTTAATTTTTTATAACTTTCTAGCAATTAAAAACTACTAAAAACGCTATAGATTATTATTATTATTAATAGTAACACGTAGGCATGGGTGGAAAAACAAAAAGGCGTTCCCCGCCCCCGCGAACAGTCCAGCCCTGCCGCGAAAACGCACCTGGAACTCGTAGGTCTTCCTCGCCTCGGCAAGCGCCTTCGCCGCTGCATCGCGTTTGAGCCTCATCTCTGGAAGCACCGCGTAGAGGTTCTTCGCCTCCTACAAAATAGTCATGGATTGAAGTAGCAAAAAAACCTTGTTAAGGCCGATGACGTCCATTTCCATGAAGGACTCTTCGATGCTAGCGCCACCATCAATGAGCACCGATCCGCTCTAAAAAGAGAAGCACTGAGCACGCAGTAGGGTTATATTAGCGTAGAGCCATGCACAGCTATTATAAACCCCCGGTTTCCTTAAGATTCGCGGGGGGACCATTTTTTCCTGACGGCCCTGTTGGCCTAGTAAACAAATCTAGTCTTTTTTAGATCTAACTAGGGAAGTATCTGAACTTGCCATCGGACTTTGAGAACTCAGATACACCATTCGATGCGCCGTGACAAGAGGATTCCAAATATGTAATAAAATCAACGGGAGCGCAAAACGGTAAAAAGTTATGAGCATTTTAAGTTTTACATCGAAATGCGCCGCCGCGAGAAGAGCCCCTCCCAGCGCACCCCGTTCATCGGTCTCATGGCCTAGTGGTGTGCGCATGGGTCTCTGGTCTGTATGACCTGGGTTCGAATCCCCTCACGATTTTTATTTTTTGCTTTTTGACCAGTTCCTATTTTTTGCATGTCCGAACTCGGGAATAAGTTTTTCTTGACTGTGTGGCCCCTAACAAGCACCAGTGATGATAAAATAACCTCCGGCAACAAAACAAGGATTGGACGCTCTCTATATCAAAGTTGGCAAAATCGTCGGAAACCGCCCTTTTAAGGCTCTGTGCGAATTCGAAGAATTCAATTTGTCAAAAATGGAACAGTACATCTTGATCAGCAGAAAATTCCCTTTCGAATGAGCTATCTTACCTGCGCTTTACGCCAAATTCTCGAAAAGCCTTCGGCTAGCTGGCCATACCCTACCCTTCCTCTGCATTCCAAAAATATTTTTTTGCGGAAATTTTTGGCAGCCGTATGTAATATAGCTGAGTTGAAAGAGCTTTCTTTGTTGAACAAGGAGCACTAATCAGTTTAGACTAAATTCCATTCCGCGGGACAATACAGGGTCTCAAAGATGCTGTTTTTCGTCATTTTGCCGACTTTGAACCCTCATAACTTTTTTACCGTTATGCGCTCCCGTTGATTTTATTACAAATTTGGAATCCTCGCGTCACGGCGCGTCGAATGGTGTATCTGACTTCTCAAGGTTCGATGGCAAGTTCAGATACTTCCTTGGTAAGTATGTTTCAACGCTATTTGAAGTAGCAAAACTTGAAAAAGCCGAAAATTTGGTCATTTTCGGCCAAAAACTGAATTTTTCGACCTAACATTGCTTCTTTATTAAAAATTGCAACGTTTTTTTATGCTCAGGAATAGCTAGAAACAATGCAGAAATGCATCCGTTATTCATAAAAAAATTTAGCCCCCGCGAATCCGAATGAACCGAGCACCCTACTTACAAAAACTTATAAAAAGTCAAAAAGTAGGAAAATTTCTTAATTCTTTTAAAAATCGTTCGAGAGATCAAAAACTGTGAAAACCCCTTATAAAAATCCATTTTATATTACAAACAAGGAAATGTCCGCCGCTAAGGATCCTGTGCCGAAAAACTGAATAACTGAACGTACTTCATAAAAGAGGACAGGCAGTGCACCGCATGGCTTGCCAGCCAAGGTGGTGGCCGCCATATGTCCCTTCCAGTCTTCGGCGTAGACCTCTTCTTCACAAGCGGCCGACGCGTGAAGGCGCATTTCCACCTTCTCGAGAAGTTCTTGCTGTAAATACGGAGTGTTTCAAAAATGGTACTATTCAGGTTTAGAGGCGCCGGGGTAACATTTTTAGGTCATTTTCGGCTAATTAGTGGGTTGTTCGCGGCTGTGCAGTGCTATACTCCCAATTGAAGCTAAGCCGGACCCGGTAAGCAGCACAGCTATCACAATTTAGCCACAACCTAAACTTAAGCTAAGCCTAGCCCCCAGGCTAAACCAGCCCTAAGCTACGCCTAAGCTCATACAACAAAGAAGAATGACCTAACTGTAAAGTGTTTTTACTCAGGCCGGCGTTTTAGAATGGGACCAAGCCTATCTTGTGCAGAATTTTTTTGCTGATTCAGAATCTGGTTTCCAAATTTGCTGCCGACCTTTATTTAAAAAGTTATTCGACATTTAGGCTAAAAAAAATTGACTTAATCTGGATTTTTTGCGTTATTTTTAAGTTGGCGTCATCTCCGACGTTAAAACTGGCTCGGTAACGGTTTTAGAGGTCAAAGCACGATTTTATGCAAAAAATCATTAGCTTTTGTGCAAAAAGCAAAAGAAATTGTACAGGGCGGGGATCGAACCGCCGCCCTGTGCTTGGCAAGCGAACAGCTTACCAATGCACCATGGTGCCAAACGGGAAGCCGGCTTCGGGAAGATAGATAAGGGGCACAACAAAACCTGGGCCGAGGCAAGGGAATAGTCGGCCAGCATCCGAATTTATGCCGTTTTTAAGCTTAATTTAGACCCCAAATGACTTTTCAACGCGAAGTCCGCAGCAAATTTGGAAAACCGATTCGGAATCAGCAAAAAATTCGGAACAAGATAGGCTTGGTCCCATCCTAAAACGCCAGCCTGAGTAAAGACACTTTACAGTAAGCGATGTCTAGGCGGAAAGGGAAGCTCGGTCGGCGTACCTTAGCCTGAATCTGGGCTTCAATCTCGTCGAACTGCTGCTGGCACCGAACGAGGGTGTTCTTTGCCCTCCCTTTTTCCTCCATATGCCTTTCGTGGTCCTGTAATTAGAGAATTGAGAATGATTTCCGGAAGAATTCAGAGGGGAGGTCGGCGGCTTCGACCCGATAGTATTGTAAAGTATCGGTAGTGAATTTGCATATTATCGATACGATACTGATACTTCGGGACCACGCTTGGGCTTTTTAGGTTGGTAAGGAAACTCACGAATGTCATGGTTGTAGAGTTCAGTTTAGTAGTGGGAAGTCAATTTTCAGTAATATGATGGGCCATAGCCAGGTCGGTTCTTCCTCTAGCTCCCAACTTGTGCTAATTTTGGGCCTTCCGGTGGCCGAACAATTCCAGCGAGGTGATATGCTTATTTCCTTTTCCAGTCTCCGTGCCGTCGTAGTTAGCACGCGGTGCTAAATATTTACCGATTTTTGGCCGCGAAAAGGCTGAATGAAAAAGAGAATGAAGAATGAAACATGTAATAAAAATGGCATCCTTTATTCCGACGGAGCAACACGAGTATCATATGAGAGGGCAGACAACAAGCACATAACCCACAGTACGAATCGAGATATGGTCGTCAAAACTTTTAAAAGTACACACGCGATACAAAAATGTAAGGGTGAGCAGCACGTGCGGTGGATGAGAGAGACAGAGAGTGAGAGAGAGAGAGAGAGGAGGGAGGCAGAGATAATGGTTGTACGCTTTAAATTGTTTCCTTTTCTTTCTTTTCTTCGGGGTTAATTGGGCGTGCGGAGGCGTGGTGGTGGTGGTGGCCCTCTCAGCGGATGATCGGCTTCGGTGGCTCGCCGCTTTCAGGGAACACTTCAAGCGATGGGTCCCAGAGACGCTTCGAAATCTCGAGACGTTCTTGGCACTGAAATTGGGTTAATTGATTCGCTATCAAACGTTGAAAGTTGGTGATTTCTCCTTATAGGGGGAGCTTATCGAGAAGGCAAGCTCTTTTTTCTTAGGAGCTAATTTTGATAATAATATTAATCGAGCACGTGTTTTGTATTCCCAGCGCCCTTTTACTTTTCCAAAACATAAATAAAAGCTTACAAATCCTTGATGAAAATTAGAAAAACTATCGATTTTTCCAAAAAAGTTGAATTTTTAATTACTAATTTTACTTACAAATTTTTCCAGACAGTGTTTTTTGCGCTTTTAATATAGCCCCATTTACTAAAACACCTATTCAAAATACATAATATTACTTTAATAGGAACTTCTGAACTAAACGGAACGATTCGTTGATAAACCCCTTCGATGAAAGAATAAATAGTGATAATAATAGATAGTTAAATACTGACAAAATGAAATTTCGATATTTTGCTTTTCGACAAAATCAAAAGGCGAAAAAATAAGCACAAAACGGCGCTGACCCCGGCGAAGCTTCCCGGATAGTCGGGGACGAGCGCGACGAGCTCGCATTCCAGATTGGCCGCCACCTTCAACACGCAACCAGCATTCTTGTACTAAAATCGGAAATGAAACAATAAATAACATCAAGAAATCGCGTACATCATTGGTGTAACAGGGCGCCGAGAAGATGGTGACGACGCGCTTGTCCCACAGCGTCGAGTAGCCCTCCAAGCACACCTAAACCATTCTTCCGGAACCATATAAAAACACACACCTGATGGCCGCGGACGATCATGTCGATGCCAAACCGCTCGCAAAAGTCTTCGGTCGTCTGAAAAAACCAATTTGTAGAAAGTCCGCTGGTTTTTTGCAATATTCGGGAAATGAGTGCTTTCCTTCACACCGAGTCTTGCTGCAAAATATTAAAACGAAACGTTTTTTGCATGGTTTTCTCACTTGTTATTTACACAATTAAAAGCATCACACCCCTACAATTTCAATCAAAAAATCAAAAAATGTAGATATCCGTATCAAATTATTTTTAATTTTTAGGTAATTCCACTGGAAACACAGTTAAATTTGACTAACAACATTATTAAAGTGCCTACTTACACACTGGGACGTTTTCTTGGTGTCCACGGTGGTTTAAAATGGGACCAGGTCTATTTTGTGCAGAATTTTTCGCTGATCGAAACGTACTTTTAAGAATCGGCGAAACTACCATAATTCAAAAGTTATGACGCTTTAAATCCAAAATCGCCAACTTTTTATTTTGGTCGTTTCTCAGATCGTATGTCGAATTCAAGGGGAAAAATTTCGCCCCGGATTTTGCTAAGGAACCAGCCGGTAAAAACACTAACCCTTCTCCCAAAGAAGAATCCGCATCCGCGCGAGTTTGGGCGCCAAAAGTCGTAGGCGGTGTCGGGGTCCGACCACACCATATCCGAGCAGAGACCCTGGTACGGATTCCGGACCGGCTTCTACAAAAAGCCCGGGGCTGGTTCGGCTGGGCAAGGCGAATGGCTACGGGGTGTTGGCGGAGAACGTCGAACGATGTGAGATGCGGGGTGATGCCGCCGTGTACGCAGAGGATCTTGTCGGAAACGAGGGCCGCCACGGACAGATAGTTGAATGCTCGCTAAAGCAGTAGAGAATTAGTGAAAATCAATTACAAGCAGTAACCTGCATTGCAGCCCACAGCTTGATCCCGTCGAGATCCGTCCGATTGTGGCAAACTTGCTGTAAAAATGAGGGTACTGGACTGTTTGCGGGGGGGGGCTTGCTATATCCTCCCGAAGGGCACGTATGTAGCTTTTTACGTCGTTTCCAATAACAAAAGTTCTAAAAATGATTTTTGGCCAAAAATCCCTGGAAAGTTTCCCAACGAAAATTTATTAACTTTCTAAAAGCGTTTCCATGATGTTTTTAGCGTTGAGAATCCACTAAAAACACTTTCAACTCACCCCAATTAGACAAAGAGAAGTGAAGAAGAAGAAAAGCTAAGCACCTGAAATCCATATTTTCGATTCGTGCGCGCATTCTCGTGGTTGCCCTTCAACAAGAAAATGTGATCCGGGTACTTTGCCTAAAAGAAACTGGGCGAAAAACAAGAATAAAAACTTTGTAGCCAAACAGCAACGCGGCGCATTCGACGGCCATCGCTCCACGATCAACATAGTCGCCGAGGAAGACGTATTTTCTAAAATCACACACTTAGGACGCGGGGAGAAGCGTATACTTGGCAGGTGGCCGTCCCATCACCAGGAATATGCTGACCAAATCGTTGAATTGCCCGTGGATGTCGCCGACGATGATAGCCGGGGCCATTGTCTACACAAATCGAGGCTATGCAATAGGATATTATCAATGCTACATCAATCAGCATCTTTTCCTCCTTGAAGCGCCACGTGGCAGCCCGGATGACGTGAAGGAGATCCTTTTCGCGGTAGGTGATCGTTTTAACCTGGAAACGGGGAATTTAGCGTCGCTTACAAATACAAATACTTCGAAGTCAAGATTAGATGGCACTGTCCGGTTGATTAACCGGGCTTTCTTTACTCAGTTACCTAGTAATAAAATCTTATATTTTTACAGTTTAGTATTTTTTTTAGTAATTTCCGTAGGTTCCGATTATTAAAAACTCGTAAAAACGCTAAAAACTTAAACCCCTGCCCCTTGTCATATATTTTCGAACAAAAAGTGAATTTATCAAAAGTTAGAAATTTTTTATGATGTTCTGCATTTGTACAATATGCCCGCGACAACAGTCCAGTAATAAATAAACAACAAAACACACTCCAGGGCCAACATCCACATAGTGCATGTCGAGGAACTTCAGGTAGTCAAAGTTGTCGGTCTTTGGGTTGTACTCGATCGGGGTGGCCGTTCGACGAGCTTGTGGCGGCTAAAAAGGGTGTTCTAGCCGCACGCCAACAAATGCTCACCCGAAAGACTCCATATTCGGCGGAGGCGCTCTGGGTGCGCTGGACGATCGTGTCCGAGGCGTTGCCTCTACGAGATATCGCCATTCTAAACAAAACGATTGTAAACACTGGCCAGAAGGTACCGTTGTGAGACCGAAACGCCGCGTGCACGGGTGTCCTTTTCGACGCGCCGACGTCCAGAAGCGCCCGAGCATTTCGACCTCTGAAACATCGAATAAAAAGATTGGTACTGGACTGTTAGCGGGGGAGCAATTCGACGTATACCTAACAAGCCAATTTCTAAGCTTTTTTGTGTACTTTTTGGTTTTCAGTGTTTTTGTTTACCAAAAACGCCTAAAAGCATCTTACAAAAATTTGCAAAACTCGACATTTAAACACAGCGTAAAAAGGATACATAAATCGTGCCTATCGCATTATCGGGGTACTAGAGGGCGGTAAGGCGAGGATCCGCCCGATAACGGTCAAATACCGAAAACGGTAAGAGTTTACTTTACCCCCCCACAGCCGAAGGTTCTCAAAGTTGTCGGTATTTTCGCTGATTTTGTCGGGATTTTTGCAACGCAATTCGATAGAGCGTCGAAAAATATACTAAGGGTTTTAATTTGAGCCTACAATAATGTAAAATAAAAAAGTTATAGCCAAAAACTTCCGGCTGGGGGGGGGGTAAAGTAAACCGTAGCCCCGAAAACTTACGGCCAAGTATGTGTGTGCGTTCGACTTTTCACGGGAAGTGAGCAGATTGGGTGCCTTGGCGGATGACTTGACGTTGTTTCCGTCTTTGGCCTCCGGTGAGACGAGTCGGACGCCCTTCTCCTTCCGGCCAGACCCGCCGCTGCCCGCGACGCCATGGCGCTTCGACTGCTCTGGTATCTTTTCTTTTGAGCCTGAAAATATATAATTTTACCGAAAGAGATATGTGGAAAACAGCAGGAAATGAAAGATAAAAAGATTCGAAAAACACTGGAATCAAAACGCCTCAGTTTTGGAAAGGCGATATCCCACCAATCACCGTCGTGGCTTGGGTTATTTCGCGCCTCTCACGCTTCTTCGACACGGCATGCCGTTTTGATGGTGCATCCCGGGTGACTTCCTTGGTGCGCCGCTGCGAGTTTTCTGAGCAAAACAATATAGCTTTGTTGCCCGCCAATCCGATACCAATTTGAGTGGTGGTGATGGTGGCCTTGTCCCTGGTCCTGGTGACGATCGGGGTACGTGGCGGCGTTTTATTTTCTTTATCCGGCTCTTTCGAACTCGTTTTTCGGCGCACCGACGGCGTCTGATCTGCAAAAAGACGAGGAATGTCGGCCCAAGCAATGAAACCTTCTTTAGCACGTATAAACGCGGTATTAGGGTCTTAGCCGGGGGATATCTAGCCTATGCCTGTTTTGCGTAAACCCACCAGCCGATTACAGCCGCTTCGCGACTGTAATCGACTGGCCTTCGGGCTATCCTCCATGTTATACACCACCACATTACACCCGTACCTTCATCAATACCCACGCTGGTCGCTTCAGATACCTACTATGGCCAAACCCCTGCAAAAACTTAGCTACCTAAACTACGACACCTTCCGGATGGCTTCCCATACCCCCCATAGCCGAAATCCCCTTCAAAAACTACCTAAATACCTTCCTGATTGCTTCAGATACCTCCCCTAGCCGAAATCCCCTTAAAAAACAAAACTAACGACCGACCGGATACGTGGGAGAAAAAAGAAATGAAATGGCTCCCGTGAAAATTTTCATCCACGAAACGCGCGCGACCTGGCTCACTATGTCCAAATTCACCCCAACCTCCGTCCCCCACCCCTTTTACTAAGGAAAAAACTTTCAAAGTTAATTTTAATAATTTAAATTAAAACTTTTTCATAATTTTTTTTATCAGTTTGGGGGTTTCTGACCATGCTCTATCCGAATCCGAAGAGAGCTAAGCTCTAGCTCCTTCCAGCTTCGAGTTGAATTCGGGACATGACAGACGGACGGACAGACACCCCTACCTTTTTATTATAGTTGATTTTGCCTAGAGCCGTTTCGCATAAATTTTTTAGTTGTTTTGTTCATGTTAAACATGATTCCTGAAATTCGTAATACAAAGTCTTATCAAAAGTGATTTTGGCGAGGAATTTCCAGATATGTGCAGGGTTGGTCATTCCGCGAGCCGACTCTGAGCCGGAGCTGAGCGGGAGCAGGAGCCGAGCGGGAGCTGAAAATTTTCAGCTCCCGCTCAGCTCCAGCTCTTGAGCCGGCTCTTTTGGAAAAGAGCGGGAGCCGAACCCTGCTCTACTCCACCGGATGCTGAAAATTAGTTATTTATGCAAATCTCCCAAAATTCCAAAAAAATTAAGTATTTTTGGCCATGCATTGCCTTATTTGCATAGATATCTGATTTGCAGGATCCGGTTTGAGTTGAGCGGGGTTCGGCTCCCGCTCTTTCCAAAAGCCGCTCAAGGCCGGGCTGAGCGGAGCTATGGATTTTCAGCTCCCGCTCCCGCTCCGGAGCGGGGCTCGCAAATCAGCTCCCGCTCCCCGCTCCCGCTCTTTTCGTGACCAACCCTGGATATGTGGTAACAAATTTAATAAACCAATTATGACATTTCGAAATTGATGACTTTTTGGACAAAAACACAGCTCTGAAAACGGTCAAAAATGTAGGCGAAACGGGTTTCGGCAAACTGACCGCCCCCGAGGTAGAGCCAAGGCAAACGAACCGGTTTGCGTCAAGTCCGTCTTGTATCCATCAGCCATCGCCGGACGGGACCGCAGCGTTATAAAAAATGGCAGGCGCTGAGTGTGGCACCGTAATAATGTGCGGAAGCCAAGCATTTATATTCAAATTTTATTCCCAAACAAAAAGACAGGGGCGAGGGCCAGGGGGCGAATCACAATCCGTGAAACATCGGAATGTGTATTGGGAGGGGAGATGGATTGACGGAATATGAAAAGTACACCCTCAAAATAAGGGTGTACTTATTCAATTTCCGGGGTTATGTGCGTGTGGGGGGTGAATGGTTGAATGGGAAGGAATGATAGTGATAGTGATGCTGATGATGATGATGGCGAGAAGAGAAATGTTGGGTTATTTTTGGAGGCGATTGTGGCAGAGGGCGAAGCGCTGGTCGTAGTCGGCGCGGAAGTGGGTCACTTGTCGATGCGAGTTCATCGTGTCGTCGCACCACAGGTCGATCAGCGTGCGGCACACCCACAGATATTGCTGAAAAAAGAGAAGATAAGTCGCGAATCAGAAACCACGGTACTGGATCATTACGGGGGGGGGGGGAGAAATTTAACCGGCACCAAAATCACCCTTTTTCGGTCGTCTACACACAAGCCTAGTTAAAAAAGAAATGTAGTTAACCGAGTTTTGTTAGTTTCCGAACGCAAATGCTACAAAAAAGATTTTTTTTGGGGGTTTGGCGCTATCGGACCGGGGGTTTCCGACTTTTCTACCAGTCCAGATATGACTAAACACGGCATAAAAAGTAGCTTAGTCGTGTTTTTAATCACCTTGATCTGAATTTCCCGCCTACAACGTTACTTAAAAATGTTACAAATTCAAAATTTTGTCGAAAACCCGTTTTTTTTTTTTTTTTTAAAAAAATTTGTCAGGCTCCCCACAAAAAATAAAGCACAAACCTTTTCAGTCTGCACCCCGCCAGCTCGCTGACGTCGAATGCTCTGAAAAAACAACGTTTCGGAGCAGGAGTAGAAGAAACAAACCACGATTATATCCTTGAGTCCGTCGAGCGGAACGCCTGCTTCGACCTGGTCGATGGCCAACTGCAGCGCGACGATTGACCCAGTGCGCCCGATACCCGCCGAGCAGTGCACGATCACCGGTGACACGCTCTTTGTAATCTAAAAACACTACTTATTAACGCTACAACGAAAATCAAAAAAAGCACCGTAATTGGCTAATTGCCATAGACATAACATCTAAAAACCATTTTTCGAAAGGTATGTCGCAGAAAACGCGCAATTTTGTAGTTCATTTTTAAATCGCACGTCTTAGATCAGAATTTCGAAATGGCCGTCTTTCCACGACAACGCCAGTTTTTTTCACATTTGGATTTTCGAAAGCGCTTTAAAAATATAACTATCGAGAAACGGCTTTTCGAAAATCGGTTCGTATCTTGTCCAATTTAGGCAGCACCCCCGATTTCACCACCCAAATACCTTATCGAGTAAATTGGCGGCCGTGTTGCCGATCTTGGGGATGCCGTGATCGGGCCAGCTGCTCCAATGCAAATGCTCCACCAGATGCTCCAGGTGGCGATCGCCGACGATGCGCGTCACCTTGAATTGACGGTGGATGACGCCGTCGTCCGAATCGAATGATGACATCTGAAAGAAAACGTGAAACAATGTGTAAAAAAGAAAGTAGCGTACCTCCAGGCAAGCCACCACAAACGGTCCGTAGGAGAGGCGTTGGCCGAGTTCCCGGGGGAAGTAGTCGCCGCATTTCACTTTGCCCTGCAAAACCCGTAAATTCAAGGGGGCCAGAAACGAACCGCTTCAAAATAGTCGCACAGTTGGACGATCAACTTTGAGCGCTCCTGGCAAACCATGTGCCAGAAATCGGCCATCGTATGATCGGTGGGCCCCTAAAAACTATTAAACTCGGATAAAAACGACAGCAAAGCGGACCTGGGTGCAAATGAAGCGCTGCGTGTGGCCCTTGGTGCTGACGTAGTTGGCATGGATGTATTCCGTGGACCAGTTGCGTAGTTTGACGCGCGTACGGTCGAGACATGGAATGTCCCTAAAATAATTGCTAAAAACTCTCTAAAAAAGCGCGCTACCGGTAGCGATTCTTGGAGACGTTCTTCGGATCGTAGAACGCCTTGCAGTCGTCGGGATGGGGGACCGTCTCGTCGCGGGCCTTCTCCCACTCGCGCTCCAGCTCATCGAGGTCCTTGCTGATCGACAGCACGGCTTCGCGACGCTGAAAGGAGGGTCATTTTTATCGGTGGATTGGGCGCTTATCGTTTAGCGGGGGGGGGGGACATTTTCCCGAAGGAATTTAAAAAATAAGCTATTTCTATAGCTTACTAAATTTTTTGAGGCATAAAAAGCTGATCAAAGTTAAAACCGGTTGGAAAAACACCGGCTTTTAAAAAATCTTGAAAATAACAAAATAAACCTTCTACACAAGATTTCTATGATTTCCTAGTTCCAAGATTTGCACGTCCATAAACCTACCAGGTAGAACGGATGCTGATGCCCATGCTTGTTGATGATTGGGGCCGAATTTTTGCGATGGAGCTCGACCTTGGGTGGAGTCGTTGTCGAATCCCTCTTATTCTGACATGAAAATACAATAAAACGAAAAACAAATTACCCCGTTGCTCAACGACCGCATCTTGGCCCGGTCTTCGGCTTTCGGGAACTGCAAAAAGATTAGAGAAGGGCCAGAAGTTACCTTCTGAGCCGACGGTCGCACGATAGGTGGCGGGGGTGCGACGGGCTGGATGGGCTTCAACGGAGGCGGTCGCTTCTTTTCTCGTTTCGAGTCTTTGTGCTAAAAAAGGCTGGTACTGGAATGTTAGCGGGGGGGGGGGGCTTTTTAGATGAAACCAACAAAAACCTAGCAAAAAAAATCAACTTTTCTTCATTTATTATAAGTCGGAAACCGTACCGCAGCATTGGCCGCTTTCACTTGCTTCCGAATCTTCATACTCCGACTGCTCTCCTGGTCCTCCCCGGCCGCATCTTTCTAAAGAACAAGATTTGATAACGGAATTCCACGCCCGAATTACCTTGCCAATTTTCAAGCCACTATTCTGGGGCGTCATCTTCTTGCGCGGCGGCGTTGTCTGAAATCAAGGTAATTCTCAAAACGCTAAAATTGTACCGGACGAGTTGTCTTCTTCGAGACCGACCTCAAGCTTTTCGACCTCGACGAGTTGTCCGGGTCCTGAATAAGCTATATTACTTCAGGTACTGGGCTGTTAGGGGGGGAGATTAGCAGGGGAACTAATTTCTGTTTTTTTTCGCAGTTCTTGCTTGCTAGCTAGTTATTAAATTTTTTAAATCGAACATTTTGACCTTTTTTGGGTCATTTTTCATACATTTTTGAACAAAAGTACTTAACAAACGTTTAGATAATGATGTTTTACTACTCTGATTTTGTTATATTCGGAACCAGCACAAAAGTCGAAGAACAAGAAAGACTGAAAAAGTCGAAAACCAAAGTCCCCCCTCCAACCAGTATAGTGCCCATTTTTTTACCTAATAAAAGGCCGCAAAAATGGGGTATATTTTGTTATGGAACCGTACAGGATAACGGGAAAAGTTTATTTTCCCCCTGCTAACAGTCCAGTACCTTACTTTATATATCTCTAAGAACACAATACCTTCTCTTTTGGCTCGGTCGCCTCTTTCACATCGATGGATTTGGAACGGCTATCGCTGGATCCGATTGACTAAAATAAATGAAATTTACATGAACAAATAGGGAGCTACCTCCGCACTCTGCCGATTTTCATCCTTGTCGTTGGCGTATGGGGAGGTTGCCCGGTTGATGTAGGGCGCGGTGGCCGTCTAAAATTAAAAATTACAAATTTAAGTTTGAAATCTTACCGCTTCCATGTTCGTCACGTATTGACTCTTCGGCGAGCCCTCGCGCTAAAAATACGAATTTTGTGAAAGTCGACCCCCTGGCCGAACCGTCATTCATACCTCTTGCTTTTTTCGGCGTTGCCGGACAGATTTTATAGCCTGGCGGAGCCACGACATGGCCGAATCAGCGATTCCGACGAACCCAAATGGCCGGATCAGCCGGATTGGGGCGCTGATGCTAATTTGGGCGGCTATGCAATGTGCGTGGGAGTCAAATTTTTGATAGACCGACTGTGTGCCTCCGTTGACTGTTAATTTTCAGTTCGCCGGAAACAGAGGTCATACAGAACTTCGGATTCAAATGAAAAACCGAATTTTCTGATCGAAAAGAGCAAAAATTTAGCAGAAAAAAAATGGTCAATGGATGGCCTCTTATGGTTGATGCAAGATTTCAGGAGGGATATGCAGACAAGAATTTTTCTGATGCAAAACCGCTTTCAAAAATTGCCGAAACGCTCCCTTTAAAAGTTTTACGCGTTTTTGCTGCCAAATCGCCAATAATTTTCAGCATTAGATCTTTCTAAAAATCTCGCGCAACTCTCATGGGCAAAAAAATACGTCTAATTTCACGACATTTCCACTAAGGCCTAAAGTTATGCATTTTTGGCTTTTCAGAGAAAAACGCGCGCAACTTTCAACTAGAGGAGCTCGACAATTTTTGAGACCGGTATTCGGAATGCAGCCATTCCTCCCTCACCATTACCTTGACTTTGACAAAAGCGTTGTGCCGATCCTCCGTGTTTTCATAGTCGCAGGGGATGGCCGTTTCCGAAGACTTCAGCGTGGCCTCCTGGTTCACTTGCAGACTCGAGTCGTCGTTCGCCGATGGCTGAAATGGTAATCAGCGATGACACAGCAAATTGCGCCTTTTTCTGACCCACTCTCCTATAGGAAATTATGCGAAAAGACATAGCCCGCCCACGATATCCTTCTCACCCCCACACGCCGTTTCCCGTCCCAATTTCCTCGAGATGGCCATTTGGTCGGCTATTTTTAGGGCCACCCCCTAGTGGTTAATTGCCGTATTGAATGACCGGAAGAAGTCCGTCCGGATGTACTTGCGAATCCCATCAATGATCAATTGGAAGGGACTGCGATGAGGGGGCTACGAGATTTCTTAGGTGGTCAAAAAATACAGAGTTGTTTTGTGAAAGTGAAAGATTGTTCCCGATCTTCCGCAAGATAGGGAAACCCCAATAATGCGCCGTAAGATGTCTGAGAACTCCCAGAGAGCAACCAATGCTTCCGTGTTGCCGGGGACAAGGCAAATTCGTCAGCTTATGCTGTTGGGGCGAAACATTGAAATTTAGGCAGTTTCCAAGCGTTCGCCACTTTTTAACACAGCACGAATTTCAATAAAAGTGCGACGAATGAAAAATGACTTCTTGGATCAAATACTGTGAAAAACCCGGAAAATGAAAGCGCGGAAAGAGCCACATGTTTTTGAGTTGATCTAAACAGTTTTTAGCATATCGGCCGGCATCGGCAACGATTCGGCCAGCCACGATAGTGACGAAAGGGTCATTTGGGAATGGTGACCCTGATTTTCTAGTAACAAGCCCGATGGCCCCAGGCCAATAGGGGTCGCCGGCAGTAATGTTATAAAATCAGGGGCGCACCGCATACGTCTTTTCAGTTTATCGCTGTCGCTGCGGAAGGCCTTAGAGGTGGATATGCCGACGTCGGCCTTAGGGGACTACTCAAAAGGCTGTGAAAATCTACAACGTTTTAGACAGGGCGGATATGGGCCAAATCCTAGAATTAGCCTTGCTCTCCTGCTAACACGGAAGCATCTAACCCAACGATGTACAAAAAAGGCAACAGTTGGTCGGGCCGGTTTAAAATATCTAAAAAATATTACCGGTGTACGCTCTTCAAGTTTCGAGGAATGGCAGCTTTTAGTGGTAGTGGAGGATCCTTTCGGTCGAACGACAGCGACGGGCTTGGCCTGTTGTTTAGACGCCTTCAGCGGTGTTTTGGTGGCCTTTGGTAACTTTGTTCCCGGCAATCCCTTCGGCCCGTGCCTAAAGTAGAATTAATTCGTCAACCCTGAACCACAAACACTCTTGGACCGGCAGCCACGGCGGCGTGTGAGAGACGATTCTGCACTTTGTGCACATTTGATGAGCTCGGTGGCCTCGGCTTGACCTGAAAAAAATGGAAAAATAGTAAAACGTAAAAGACGAACAACTCACCGATAATAACTTTGGGCGAGATTTGTCAGTGTACCTCTGTAAAAACGGGTTAATACAAAGATGTCAAAGACAAAATACCTCCGAGTACTCCTCTTGGCTCGAATGTTTGTTACCCATTCACAGGGAAAGCTGTAAATAATGCTGAAAGAAGAAGTGTTATACATGAATTATAGAGAACGAGCGTTCGGGTTATGAAAACAAAGAAAAAGAGCATACAAGGAGCAAAAAAGCTTACAAAGATTGGCAGTATGATTTCAAGTCCAAATTTTCCGGTTTTCGCGCTTCAACCATTAAAAAGCATAGCTCAATGTAGCGGCTACTTAAAATCAATAATACCAAGCAAAAAAAAGAAATATAAATTTTGTTAGAAAAACAAAAAAGAAAATAAAAAAGTTTAGAAGAAATCCACAAAATGCTGGAAAAACCGAGAGGATACTACGAGAGACTTCTATAACCACCACTTCGTCATTTGTCAACTTGTGTACTACCGCTTCTCCGGCCTTCCCGGAAGCTTTGCGAAGTTTGATTTTGGCTTCTAAGCTTCAGCGTCAGTATTGCGAAGTTCAGCGTTCAATTCCCTACTTCTACGTGCGCGCCGCGTGTCGCGGTCCTTTTTCTCAAACCCTTTAAATCTGTCTTCAAAACTTGCAATTTCAGGCATGTATTTTACGTATGGGAGGCCCCGGCACCCGGTTCAACCGAGCTTGGTCAGCGTTTTTTTTGAGTTTTCAGCCTATCATTTTAGACGCAACTGAAACAAATGCCACCGCCTCCACCGCCATTGCCATCCTCCTCAGAATCGACACCAACCAGCGCGCCGCACGAATATAAGCCAGTAAGTAAGAAAGTCCCTTCTCCATATTTTTCTTCTTCTCGGAGCCACTTCCACAATTCGAGGCCACTGCTTCGTGGATTGACGATTCGTTCAAAAAAGGCGGAAAGTACGATGAGGTCCGTTTCGGCATGGTTTCATTTCTCTCGGCACATTTCTCAGATCCGTTGGCGGCTCGTCAAGCAAATCGAGGAGCACGGCTTATTCGAGGAAATTGTGGTAGGGATTTTTGTTTTATTCGTGATTCTTTTTCTTAGAAAAAAGGAAACGTCGAGGCCGAAAACCACCTGAGGATGATCCCCGGCAGCAAAAACACTCCCGACGTGGTGCGGAAGCATCTACAAGGATGGGGCAAACGGTATCATCGAGTTTTCCGAGTTTATTTGCTTTTTCAGTTACGAAGATCGGCTGAAGGGGCTTGTTGAAGATTTCATGTCGGACCCGAGGATTGCTGAGGAGATTCGCACCGAAATTCAACCGTAATGTTATCTTATTTTGCTAAATTCAAATGTTTAGGAAGGTTGAAAAGATATATGGAGCCTCGTCTGCGGATTGCCCGGATGATTTGAACGAATGAAGGATCCTTCGAAGGAACATGTCGTTTCCGTATTTTTCGTTTCTTTTACTAAAAGGAGTAATAAATATAGTTTGGTAGACTGACATTTTGTGTATTTTTTGGTGGCTAGCCTCCATTTCCAGGTTTCTAGACCGGAAGTTAGCGTCACCGATCAGTTCGACCGTCTCCAAAGCGTCTTTCCTCCTCTCACCAAAATTTTATTAAATCAGAAACGACGCCATCGTGTGCGCATAGATCGGGGCGAAACAACGAGAAAATGATGGGCACCAAACGGAGGAGAGACAGAAAGAAACAGAAGCGGAAGAGCAGAAGAATTTTAGAGAGGGTCCAGTGCATTTGGGAGATCATCAGCATTAATTGGGTGTTGTTCACAGGGCCGGCGACGAGTTGCCCGACGACGGATTGGCCGATGGGGGCGGAGCATCGGTGGGCGGCTTGAACCCGTCCATCGTCGGCGGCGGCAGATTCTCGAGACCGCTGCCCGAACCAGCTGGCGTCGCCGGGGCATCTGAAGGCTTTCAGGTAATAACGGCGCGCGAGGAATTTATTCTGTAGGATTTCAGGCTACTTTGAGGATAAAAACCTTACCAGGCGGCGGCAGCGAGCAGGTGGACACGTTGGCCGAGCTGGCCCCCTCGGGTTTCGGCGACTTGGGCCCGTCCGACTGAAAAACGTTGAATTCTCGTGTTGGGCTGCAAACCTCGCGCAAAGCCTTGCTCATGCGGTCGGCGGCACTGCGGCTCACCTTGAGGCTGCGCGGGCGCTTCTTGCGGCTCGTCGGCTTGTTGCCCGTGGCGGAGGAAGTGGTGCTGCTCGACGATACCGAGCACGCCGTCGCGCACTGCAAAGGTATCGTTAGGTAAGAGTCTAGAAACCCCCCCCCGCGCCCCCCTTTTTTTTTTTTTCCCCCTCTTTTTGGGGGGGGTTTTAAGAATAAAAAAAAATTTTCGGGGGGGATTTATGTTAGGAAATAAAAAATTAATAATGGTAGGGGAGGGAAAAAAATATAAGGGGTTGGGGGGGTTTGAGGGAAGGGGGGGGGGGGGGGGGGTTTGGTGTGGTCTATCGTTATAGTGATGTTGAAAGGGCGAATGCTTATTTAGCTGAATTTTAGTTAGCCGTATTTTCATGCAGGAGTTCCATTTCGCCGAATTTTTGTCTATCCGAATGCTCATTTCACCAAATTTCTATGCGCCAAAGGCAGTTTTCCACGCTAATTATGCTCGTAGTCAAAACAATTATCATTACAAGCGCGTAATTTAGTGTTTTAATAAGAATGCGAAAGTCTTTTTGTCAAAAAATCGTTGAACATATTCGCGTTCAGAAACAACATTTCGCGACTTGAAATCCGGCGAAATCAACATCCAGCGAAGCGAAAGTCGGCGAAACGAATCAAAATCATGGATGAAATACCCCAGTCGTCGGTGCGTCGCCTCCTCCTCCCCCGCATCCACGCCGGTAGAAGTAGTAGACGACGCCAGCCGTGACAGCGCCCACCGCCAGCCCCGTGAAGACGTACAGGCCCAAGCTAAAAACGGGATTTTCAGGTGCTTGAATGGGGAATAGAAATGTTTTATGCAAAACCAACTTCTTCTTGGGGCATGGCAGACATCCGAGCTTCGACCCGAGAGGGCAAGCGGCCGACGTCGGGGGCACCATTTCGGAATATATGGGCAGGAGCGTGGAAAAGTTATTTTACAATCGTAAACTCATTCAGCAACCCCGCTTCCGGCCAATGTGTAAAATACAGATCCGATTCAAATTTAGATAAAAGCTGAAAGCTGAAAGTATTTCAACCGGAAGACGACGTCATGTAAGTGTAGTAATGAATAAAGATCAGGTTTTGTAGTGTGGGAAAAGCGGGGAAATCGTATAACTTTTATTATGCCCAGCGAAAATTGATCGATTCGAGGCGGTTTATTGGGCGATGACTTGGACCGGTTGCGCGTACGGGAACAGCTCGACGAGTTTGCTCTGAAAATGGTAGATGAACAAGTTAGCGTTTCTGTTTCTCTCTCTCTCTCTCTCTCTCTCTCTCTCTCTCTCTCTCCCTCTCTCGCTTCCTACATGCGGTGCCATGCGGAACGGGTTACGCGGCGCGTGCAGCTGGTCGAGCAGTTCCTGGTGGGTGCGCTAAAAGATGTTATTTTTATTTTCGTTTAATTTTCATAGGAAACGTACGCTGATGGGCGTGGTGGCGGTAGCGTGTGCATAGTTTGCCACGTAGTCGCCCTGGTGATGCATGAAGATCAGGGTACTGCACGCCTAAAACCGGAAAACTTACGGTTGTCCATAAACAGGTTGCTTTTCGGGTTTTTATGGTACCAAACAGTCTAATGTTCATTATCCATTCCGATTCAGCGTCCTAAAAAGCTTTCCTAGCGTTTCTCACCGTGGGCAATCGCTCGAGGCGCCACTTGTAGCCGAGCAGGAAGTACTGGAGGAGGAGCGGCAGGTTGTCTTTTGCCTAAAAAAGATGTGTCAAAGTTGAAGCTCCGCGGACCTTGTCCAACTGGCCAAAGAGGTGGCGCTCGATGGCGGTGACGAGGGCATTTCGGCGGATCGGCTGGTAGCTAAATAAAAGTTATGGCCGTTTTAAGTCAGTTACATGAGGCTGATGTTGATCAACTCCTCGGCGTGGTCGACGGTCATGTCGCCCGGGTGGGCGAATGTCGTCGTCAGCATGAACGCCAGCGCCTAGAGTTTTTCTTTTTTTTAGTAAGTATCGGCGACCCATTTTGCTACAGGCCAGTAAAGTGTACTAAAATGTTCGCCTTGTGACGTGGTGTCAGAATACCTCACATTTGAGTCGGAAAAACAGGAAAAATTTACCTGCTTGACGATGATGCACGGCGAGCTTTCGTGCAGTTCATCCCCCACATCCGGTTCCATCAGGCGCTGAAAAGTCAGCGGATTTTCAGGTGATTTTCATGGCTTCACGACGAACCCTGCGAAAATAGACGGACGAGTAGTAGAGGGCCTGCCGAGAAGCCGTCACCACGCCGTCGCGACACCGCAGCGTAATGTCGTGTTGGGTGCTGAAGGAGTAGTTTATATAGAGTATCGAAAAACGGATAAGTTCTTTTTCTCCAAGGCAAAAGCTGGGATCGTAATAATTTTTGTACCGTCGTACAATCTGTATCTGTACAATTTTTGTATCGTAAAACGCGCTTAAACGGAAAGAAAAAAGTATGGCAACCAATTTACGCACGTGCCATTTTTCGGGCTTTTCGAATGGCATAGAACATTCCGCGCTGAGTTTTAAGAGAATTTAAGTAAAAGTATAAGTAAAAGAGATTTAAAGAAAACTGAGTATTTGAGGGATTTCTAAGCATATTTTTCAGCCTCTCCTATAAATTTCATAACCCTCCAAAACAAACTGACGTATCCACGAGGGCGCGGAAGCGGAAATCGAGCGGGTCGGGCGGTTGGGGAGCGGCTTCCAGCCATTCCGAGCCGGTGATGAAGTCGGCCTTGCGCACGCGCAACACGACGCTCACCTCGGCGTGGCGGGACGAGCCTGAGAAATGAGAATTAGTTTCGGGCCGCTAGATTCGTACCCCGTTTCTGCACATCATCCTGGTCAGCGCGGGCCTTTTTCAGCATTTTAATGATCGGGCCCGTCTCGTCGAGGCTGGAAGTAAAAATCGTATAATGGTGATTTTTTTATTCTCGGGGATCTCATATCTTTATTTTCGCTGATTTTTAATAGATCGTAATTTTTTATATTTACTATTGCCAAACATAAAACTTGATAATTTCATGGAAAGCTGAACAAAATATCGATTAATCGGTCAAAAATCTACAAATTCGTTGTAAATTTCGGCTTTAGCACTTTCCAAAACGTTTCGCGGATACTTCACGTCAAAAATAACGTTTTGTAAGGTACACTGAATTCCAAGTTTTTCGAATCGCTAAAGCCTATCTCAACCTAAACAATCTTTTAAACTTTTCTCACCGAAACGTCGGTTCCCCGGCGTCGGGATCAAGCCAGCGGCGTTCTGCCAGCGCTCCAGCGGTTTCTAAAAGTTTGAAATTAGCTAAAAATTAAACTTAAAAACCCCCACCATCCCCATCGTCATTGAGGATTCGGGCGCGGAAGATGGCTTCGGCCGGATGGGTCAGCTGCTCGGAGCGCCACATGTTTTGGCTTAGCTCCTGAGAAAGGCTTTGTAAATAAAAGCAAAACTGGCAGACCAGGCGCCATTTTCGTTGCGGGAGGGCGACACGCTGGCGGAGGGCGCTGAACCGCTCCTCGCCCAACAGCATATTCCTGGAAAAGAGGAATGTGCCCGTGAGGAAATAAATATAGATATAATGAAAAAGAAGAAGAAAATGGTTAAAATTCGTTAATAATACTGGTATACTTTTTATCGATTTTTACATTGCTTTGTTACTTACTCCGTCTGATATCTGATATCCAGCTGAACCAAGGATAGGCATTCGGATCCTACTAATCGAGACTATCTATGGCTTGTATCGAGGTACCGTTTCGTGCGTACTGTAACGTAGTCTAGAGTACGGTAAGCGATTTCCTATCTACTGTTGCATATGTATCACATTTAGAGTGAGTGGCTGCTTGCCTACGCTGCTACCTATCTGGCTGGCCCCCAGCGGTTGATATCCTGGCCACCGGAAGTCAACTCAAGACACCAAACGGTAGCTAGTTAGTTAATGTAGTCATACGTAACTACCGTAACAGCCTCTGAATTTCTAATTCGATTGTTGGCCCCTAGCGGGGTGTGCGCCGTTCCCAGCGGCAAGTGCAATGCTGGGCCGATGCTTTCCGGCAGGAAACAAGCTTCTGCGAATCGATTCCAAAAAGATTGGCACATTGGCCCATTGGCCCACATATTTGACAGGTCTCTGTACTGTATGACGTAGTGTATCGTACTAAAACGTACATAATTTTGTTCTCATAAAAAACATTAGTGCGGCCCAGGGTGGCCCCCACCCCATTTGGCTCCGATAGGGGGACGCCAGATACCCAGTCAAAGAAACCCATCGGGTGTTTGGTGTTACTGTAGCCATGCGTACAGTACCGTAACCTTACCTACATATGTTTTTAGTCTTCATGGTGTTTGTTCACCCCTTGCGGGGTGTGCGCCGTTCCCAGCGGCAAGTGCAATGCTGGGCCGACGCTGTCCGGCGAGAAGCAAGCTTCTGCGAACCGAACCGATTCCAAAAATATGTTAATCTCTATACATCCACATGGGATGTGTATCGGAGATTAAGCCGATAAGAACTTATTAATTTTATTCAGTAAATGCTCGGCCCGAGGGCCGGAAATACACAAGTTCACATGCGCGATTAAAATGGATACATGATTGACGGGTAAGCGTCAATTTGGGAAAGTTACAATCAAATTTGAGAGGTGAGAAATTAGATGATTCGAATTCACACAGTTTGTGAGAGATCAGAATGAGTTGGGGGCACATTAAGAGCATTACAATTCACAGTGATAGAAAATGAGTATCGCTTTTGGTACTTTATTGGGGGTTGTTGTCGAGCTTGTATTGGCGTTGGCCCGTCACATGTTCCACGTAGATGTCCCTGCTCCAGCGAATCGAGTCGGCGACCATCAACAGGCGCATCAGTTGTCCATACTTGACGGAGATCTTCAGCCTTCTTTGGATGTCGTTATTGGCGGCGTCCCATCCTCCGAGTGGCCCGACCATCCATGCGCCCAGGAACGTGTCGTAGCCGTCGGTGGAGTACTTGTCGAGGATGGGCAGGTACTTGCGCTCCTTCTCGCGGCGTGCATCTTCGAAGATCGACACGTCTCCATTCTCGAACGGCATCGTCACATCGATGATGGTGACGGTCTTGAGGCGGTCGTTGATGATCGTGTAGTCGGGCCGTAGTTGTCCGTCTGTGCCGGGGATCTTCTGGTTGACGTAGATCTTGTCGTCGTCGAGCGGCTTGTAGGCGTTCATCAGACGATCCAGCACGGCGTTGTGGCGAAGTTGGATGGCGTGCGAATGGGCGTGGCAGTGGTTGAGGGTGTGGGCTACGCTTTCCAGGGCGTAGCCACACTTCCGGCAGCGCTTGTCGACGTGTCCTCTGGAGCGATTGCAGCCGTTGAGCGCGAGGAGGTCGAGGCGAGCTCGGTGAACGAACCGCCAGTCGGCGAAGCGTAGGAACCGTCCGTCTCGCATGAAGTTGTTGGACGCTGGTTGGCGGCTCGTTACTTGGTACGTTTTGCCTTGGCTCTTCTTTGCAGAGAGGCTGGCGAGTTGAGCTTCTTGGGCGGCTTTCTTGAGGGCGCGCTCACAGCTTTTCTTGTTGACGACCTCGCCTTGGACGTGTAGTCGAACCCGTCCTTCGTCTTCATTCCATCTCCATTCGATGTCGAGCTTGTCGGAGTCGCGAAGTCGTCCCGTGGCAAGCCGAAGTCTTGACCATACGTTCTTGGCGTCCGTGGAGTTGGTGTAGAAGTCACCGTCCTTCTTTTGGTTGAGGTATTGGGCGGTTTCTTGCTCGGACGGTGGTCTTCTCAGCTTGAGCTTGGCGGCCTTGGTGACGAGTTCTGCAGACATTGCGCCGAGGTCGGGTGAGTCGAGGAGCTGTACGGCATGGACGAGTTGCATGATGTCGGCCAGCGTCTTGGTCTCGATCAGGCCGAGCCCGCCCATCGAGTTGGGCAAGTACAGAAGTTCAGGGCTTGCACGCGAGGGGAGGTTCAGCCACGACTTGGCGTATTTCTTCAGCTTCTTGTCGAACGGGATGAGCACCTTCTTCTTCTCCACTTCGCCGTTCTTGAGGTGGAAGCCAATGCAGGGCAGGATGAACGTCCGCACCGCATCAGCCTTCTGCCATGGTGCCAGCAAGGAGTCGTTGATCTTGTCGAGGTCCTTGTGCATCTTGTCGATGGTCGTCTCCGCCGATTTCCCGTAGTAGTATCCGGTCGGGACGCCGAGGTGCTCGTAGTGGTCTTCCTTGTCCAGGGTGACCATAGGAGAACCCTGGATTCGGAATTGCGTGTTGAGGGCCTCATTCCTTGAACCGTCGATGACCAGACTGGCGCATTTTTTCGCGTTAAACTTCAGGCCGAGCCATGAAGCAACTTCGGTGATGACGTCGAGGGCATGGTGCAGATCTTGCGGGTCCTTGGTGATGACGGCCAAGTCGTCGGCGTAGGCGAGCACTCCAACTTGACGTCCTTCGATGGGGAAGCCGACTCCGAGGTGGGCGACGGCGCGGATGAGTGGTTCGAGGGCCAAGTTGAAGATGATCGGCGAGAGCGGACATCCCTGCTTGACTCCAGATTGGATTGGGATTGCAGCCGTGGGCCCCGTCGCGCTTCTGATCGTGGTGGTGGAGTGCTTGTAGAGTCGCCTCACTTCGTCGATCGCATCATCACTCAGTCCGGCGTACTTCATACATCGAAACAGCGTCGGATGTGGCACGGATCCGAAGGCGTTGGACAGGTCGAGCCAGGAGATGGAAGCCCTGCTGTCGATCCTCTTGTCACGGCGTGCTTCAACGATGATGGCCTGGAGCAAGAAGTTGTGTTCGGCGCACCCGTCAACTGGCATGAATCCCTTCTGTTCGGAAGAGATCCGTTGGTGGAGGATGGCCCATCTCCCGAGTCGTTTCGCCATCACTGACGCGTAGAGCTTGGCGGCTGTGTTGGAGAGGCTGATGGGTCTCCAGTTCGTGACGTCGTCCTTGGTGCCTTTTTTGTGGAGCAGGATGGTTCTTGACTCGTTCCATGCCTTGGGGATGTGCTTCACTCGACGGACGGCGTTCATCATGGCGGTCAAGATGCGGCCGCCGGGGTCGAACTTCCTCCAGAAGGCGTACCGTATCCCATCCGGTCCCGGAGCTGTATTCTTGGCGAAGCGTAGACGGACCCATACTTCAGCAGTGTTATAGTCGTCCTTGAATGGGTTGTCTTGCTCGTCGGGTAGTGGATCGAGGGTGGGGACTGGTGGCGGTAGTTGCGCTTGATCCGGAAGGTCTCGCTCATGTTCGGGTCCGAAGACGGCTTCAAAGTGTCGCTGTAGTTCGGCTGCCGGGATTTGACAGAAGGGCGATGTTTCTTCTGTTATTTCTTTGAAGGCGCGTGGACGGCACTTGCGGTAGAGCTTCTGGATTCGTGACGCAGCCTTCGGATCGTATCTTGGTGGCGGGTCTTGACCATGACGCTGCCGTCGTTGCTGGGGTCGTGGCTGGCGAGGCGGAGCATCCGGCTTGGCATGTCGGCGTTGTTGTCGAGGCGGTCGTTCAGTGGCGCACTTCTTGATGACGGCGGCCGTCAGCTCGTCCACCAGCAGATCTAGTGCACCAGCATGTGCAACACCTTGGAATCGTAGACTCCAATCCTTGTTGGCGCCCTCATTAGCGGGTTGAGGTGGGGCAGCCGGGGATGGTGTGCGCTGGCGTTGTGGTGGTGGAGAGTGAGGCGGTGCAGCAGCTGGACGTTGAGGCGAATTGGCAGGCGTGGCGAAGGTGTCCGAGCCGCTGTCCTGATGACGTCTTGGAGGTGGTGTCGCGGGCCGACGTACGACGACGCGAGGTCTCCGTGGTGCACGTGGAGCAGGAGCAGGAGCACCGGTGTTGCATCTGGCCGTGTTTTGTTGATGAGCCTTGGTCGCCTTGACGGTGTCGAACTTGGTACGGCATATCGCACATCGGAACTTGACGGCTAGGTTGTGGATGGACTTCAGATGTCGGGTCAGTCCTCCTTGCACCTTGTATGACGGGCCGGTGGCGCACAGTCGGCACACGTATGTGTCGGTAGGCGTGGCGATGAAGTAGTAGTCGGGCTCGTCGCGGCACGTGTAGTCGTCCTCCTCGTCCTGGTCTTCCGGAGCCCCGTCCGAGTCGACCTCCGAGGAGGACGAGTCGACGGGCGGCACGTAATCGTCGCCGTCCGGAATCCGCAGGCTGTCGTCGTCCTCGTCGTCGTCGGGCATTTGAAGAGACGCTGATCGAGTGGTCCGATTTGGCTCGGTAGTCTGTCTCAAGTCGATGTCAAGGGCGATAAACCGATGAGCAGCCGAAATGAGGTCTCCCCGTTAAGATCAAGTGCTTTTCGTACTGAACCGATAAGAACAGATTAATTTTATCAGTGCATGCTCGGCCCGAGGGCCGGAAATACAGTAATCATATGCGCGATTAAAATGGATACAGGATTGACGGGTAAGCGCCAATTTGGGAAGGTTACAGTCAAATTTGAGGTGTGAATGGTGAACTCTTATATCACAAATGATTGTAGAGTTGTAAGGGTGGGCATAGAGCACAACGTGGGATTTGAGATGAAAATTCCGGGAGCCCGTGACACGGGGGCGGAATGTATTTACCCGGCACGGGGTTCATGTCAATTCTTGGGGTGACGGCGCATTGCAGAGCTTGTCGATGAAGGCGCATTGCAGAGCTTGTCGGTGAAGGCGCATTGCAGTGGAACACGGGCACGGCTTGAGCTTGGTCAGACGGTACAAATTGACGGTCGACGCATCCTTCTCGCTTCTGGTTCTGTCGGCTTGCATCAGGCAGGGTTAATGAGCAGAGGCCAGTACAGAGAGCCATGACGATGGCTGTGAACGGGTCACAGCACCGGCTACGACGACAGGTCAAACACTCGAACAGTCCAGGAACAGCACGGGCTTGTGTCTTCGGGCAGCTTGTAGATGAGCAGGCATCCTTCCTTCTTGAACATGATGATGGGCTTGGGGTTGTAGTTGCACTTGTCCGGGTCTGACGGCACAGCACGGCGGTCGACGACTCCTTCTCGCTTCCGGCTCTGTCGGCTTGCATCAGGCAGGTTTAATGAGCAGAGGCCAGTACAGGGGACCATGGCGATGGCGGCGAGGGGCGCTTCAGCTTCATGCATGACGGGCTTCGGCACATGGACGGCACATCTGGTAGGGTTTAGGGCGATGGCACGCCCAGGCTTCGGCACCAGCACTATCTGCCGCGAGTCTCCGCACCGGAGACGACAACGGGCGGCACTCCGACGAGTCCGGCGAAATGGGCGCAGCCACATCCTTCAGCCCGGCGCGGTAGTTGGCGTCCGGGGATCGGCTTCTGACGTCGGCAGGGCGGTCGTTCTTGGGCCATCTTGGTTGGCGTTGTGGTTGAAGGGACGGTAATCGAGTGGTCCAAATGGCTCGGTAGTCTGTCTCAAATCAACCGTTCTGGCGATAAACCAAAAACTGCTGATTGAGGTCTCCCCGTTAAGATCAAGTGCTTTTCGTACTGAACCGATAAGAACAGATTAACGTTTATTAGCAAATTCTCGGCCCGAGGGCCGGATAATGCGGCAGTAAAACAATCTCGAAAGAATACACGAAATGACACGCAGGTCATTTAAATTAGGGGCTTACAACATTTTCAGGGAGAAATTGTGAGAATCTATTGATCACAAATGGATGGGAGATTCGGGAAGGGCACGAAAAATTTACATTTTAAAAGATAACTAGCAAATGGGTATCGCTTCTTTTATGCTTGGTATTGGCGGTGGGCGGTGATGTGCTCGACGTAGGCATCTCTTGACCACTTCAGCGCATCGGCGACCATCAACTTCTTCATCAGCGCGGCGTACTTGACGGAGATGGCGAGTCGGCGCAGCACGTTGTCGTTTTCTTGGTCCCATCCGCCGAGTGGCCCGACGATGAAGGCGTCCAGGAACGTGTCGTAGCCATCCGCGTTGAACTTGTTGAAGATGTCGGCGTACTTGCGGAGCTTCTCGGCACGTGCGGCAGCGAAGACGCTCAGGTCGTGGTTCTCGAACGGCATGGTCACGTCCACGATCGTCACACGCTTCTTCACATGGTCGACGAGGGCGAGATCGGGACGTAGTTGACCATCGGTGCCGGGGATCTTGACATTGACATATTTCGTGGTGGTCGCGGGCAGCTTGATGGCGTTGACGAGGCGGTCGAGGATGGCGTTGTGGCGCAGGGTGATGGCGTGGGCGTGAGCAGGGCAATGACACAGGACGTGGGCGACACTCTCGAGTTGGTAGCCACATCTTCGGCAACGCTTGTCTTTCTGATCACGGGCACGGTTGCAGCCATTTAGCGGAACGACGTCGAGTCTTGCACGGTGAACGAAGCGCCAGTCCGCAAAGCGGATATAGCGTCCGTCACGCAGGAAGTAGTTGGAGGCGGGCTGGTGGGCGGTGATGTTGTAGACCTTGCCCTGGCTCTTCTTGGCGGTGAGGTGAACGAGCTGAGCTTGATGGACGGCGCGCTTGAGCATCCTTTCACACGTCTTCTTGGTGACGCCACATCCGAGCACGAGCAGTTGGATCTTGTCGTTGGCCCAGGTCCACTTCACATCGAGCTTGTCGGTCTTGACGAGGTGGCCGGTTGCTTGTCGCACTCTTGTCCACATGTTGCGGGTGTCGGCGTAGTACGTCTCGAAGGCGCCGTCAAGCTTTTGGTTCAGGTAGTCGGCCACTTCGGAGTCGGTTGGAGCACGCTTGATCTTCTTCTGTACAGCCCTACGGAGCAGCTGAGCAGTCATTGGGCCGAGATCAGTCGACTCCAACAACTGGACAGCATGCACCAGCTGCATCACGTCGGCGAGGGTCTTGGTCTGGATGAGGCCGAGGCCTCCCATGTTGTGCGGCAGGTAGACGACTTCGGGGCTAGCTTGACTCGGGAGGCTCATCCACGACTTGGCGAACTTCTTCAACTTCTTGTCGAACGGGATGAGGTGCTTCTTCTTCTCGACGTGGCCATTCTTCAGATGGAAGGCGATGCAAGGCAGGATGAAGGTGTTGACGGCATCCGCTTTCTGCCAGGGGGCGAGCAGCGAGTTGTGGATCTTGTCGAGGCACTGGTGCATTTTGTTGATCGTCTTCTCAGCCGATGAGCCTTGATAGTAGCCGGTGGGGACGCCGAGATGTTCGTAGTGGTCGTTGGAGTCGAGCGTCACCATCGGAGAGCCTTGAACGGAGTACTTGATCGGCATGGTGGTGTGCTTGTTGGAGTTGATGACGAGG